ATTTCACAATCACTTCTATAAACACGAATAATTTTGGGGTAATCTTTTTTTCTGTGGCTGGGCCTAACTCGCGCTGAGGATCTCAATAAGGACCCATTTGAATAACCGAATCACACAACCGCACGTTGAACTCGCTTACGCAGAAGTACACACCCCATTCAATCCAGTTAATTTTTTAAGCAGCAGCATTCTTGGACACAGGCGGTTTGATCAGTGGCGAGAACCGACTGAAAAGCCAGCTCCTAACTCCATTTATATCCGCCACTCACTAGCTCCTTATTAGACTAGACTCACTAGAGTATAGAGCGTGCGACAAGATTTACTCATCTTGTTATTCTCTTACATAAAGTCCAGAAGTAGAAAAAATTTTCCTTCTCTTTACTTCTATTGGCTACTCTTTATGATATGATTGCAGCCGAGTTTTTTGTTCTGGATAGTTTTCATCGCCCAATAATATGCCTACTGATCGACATTACTCCGAACTCAAATGCGAGCTCGCACAATAAAACAAAACTACATCCACATTTCATGTGTCGAGGAGGCCCCGATGTTGAGTTTTTCGGACAGGCAACTGGTTTGACTTGACCCGTGCAGGGAATCTGAAACAACGTGCATAAAACAAATGATACAAAACTGCCACATATCTCGCGCAAACTGGTCGATTAGCTACCATGTACATATCTTGTGAAGTGCATTGGATCAAAAAATAATTTGCCCTAAACAAGAAATTGTTGACAACTGGAAGAGCTGACGCCTTCAAAGAGAAGAATGAAACTGAAAGAAACATGATGAAGACTTAAAAACTAAATAACTAATGCTGAGTCCAGATCATGTTACAAGCGGTCAACACGTGACCTTCCTCACCTTCAACCCGCCACCAGCCCACCATCACCAAATAACACATACTGAAATTTCAAATTAAGCATAAAACATGTAATTCTGAAGTCACAGAGATTAAATAAAATAGGATTAATCAAAACGCTTTTTCGGATGCTGGAATCTTACATGGTTGAACTATAAACTAGTGTTCAACCATGGAATCTTAGACTAAATACTGGAGTGTAATTTTGTATTAATATTCATAGGGTATCGCTATCATCAACATTTGGTCCCTCCGCTAATGTGTACCTCCTGCAATATTGCTCATCTTGTCTGCCTCCTTCGCTCAAAAAGAAATAAGAAAGAAGAAATGTAGAGTAGAATTCGCTCAAATTCTTTACCTTTCAATGAATGGTCCAGTTCCGATTTTAATTCACTAGTAGACATGCCGCATGCGATACTGAATATGTGCTCATTCTTCTGTCATCGATATTTAAGTTGCCACTTGTCAGATGCTGCACTTCTCTTGGCACTCGTCACTAAAAATTAAGAATAGTCAAATAAATAATACAGTAATAGTACGGTGGTAAGAACTCACTAAGAACTGCAATTTTTTAGGTTGGAAGTTTGGAACCTTGGAAGATTACCACATACACGTATGGTATAATAACTAAAGATATTAAGTTACTAAACCCACAGTGTAGCCACTGTACTACTGTAGACTGTAGTGACACAATGAGTCAGTCTGTGAGACTGTGAGTGCACCGTGTAGTGAGTGACAGTCAGTGACTGAGTGTACAGACTACAGAGTCACTACAGACTAGTACACCTACAAAGCTACACTACAGTGACTACTGACTAAGTGACTATGACTAGTATAAGTATACACTACATTTACACTAGCTAGTACTGAAGTACAGTTGCCTACAGTCTACTCTATGTACAGGACAGCCAGTACAGGCAGTACAGTCAGTGACTCAGTGAGTGTCTCAGTAGTCAGTACTAGTCAGTACTCAGTAGCCAGTAGGCCCAGTACAGACTGTACAGTCACTACAGTGTACTCACACTCACTGTATAGTCAAATGGGGTAAGACAGGATCGCAGCCTTCATGGGGTAAGAAAGGACCGGCCCATGGCATGCATTCTAATTGCACTGAATTTAATTTGACAAAAGAATATGTTAGAGCAATCATTGCCTGTCATTTCAGTGCTTGTTTCAACCCTCTTCTGCAAATAATGAATTTCTGGCTAATTTTCAAAGAAAACCTATGTAAAGAACCGCCAAAAATGGATTTCAGATTCGTAATCTACACCCCAAAAAACATATAATTAAAAAAAAAACACCCTTTTTTTGGATGTAGTTAATCTGCAATAATACCAGATTGGCTGGGGGAAAAATCACTGTGTGAAACATGAAAAATAACTATGATCACAACTCTGTGAGAGGGCATGAGCCATGTTTGAAGAAGTACACCACAAATGCAGTTAGCAAGAAAACAATGACGTCTGACAAAATGACACCTAAGTTATATTCAATGACACTTAAGTTATTATCCATTGGTTTTATTACCAATTTGATAAATTTTTCAGATAATTACACTAATGGAATATACATGAAGCATTTAGCAGTGCTCTACAATGCACCAAAGCCAACCCACTATTACTATGCTTAACAAAGTTTTCTCGTGACAAAAACTTCAATGTGACTGATATTAGAGTTGACTTCCCACCACACATAACAGTAACAAGTGGTTGTTTAAGCAAATAATGAGTTTCTAGATGGATAATATTGAATATCAGATTTGTACTTTTATTAAAAACCTTTTAACATAAGAATTACCAGTTGGTCCTTTCTTACCCCAGCCTGGTCCCATTTTACCCCAATGGGGTAAGATGGGACCAGCTCACTTTTTTTAATCTGTACAGAAAACTGTGTTAGATGCAAAATGTCTGAGTTGTAGCTTAGAGGCGTGTTTCATAACTACACCTTGTGATTGGTTTAGGGTTTTTTAGTTATTCATGGTACAGATGCTACAGGCTTGTTAGTGATTTTGGTCCTGTCTTACCCCATCTGACTATATACTGAGTCTACTGACTGTAGTCACTGTTACACTGTACACTAAGTAGCTTATAGCTAGGTCTACCTTACCACCTACACAGGCTACACTGAGTGACTAGTAATACAGTTAGTTAACACAACTAGTCTGTACAGTTTTAACCTTGCTAGAAACTGTCAAAAATGGAGGTTTACTTTTGTTTGCATAGAACGGTTTCTATTGAAGGCCAGAATTTCTGAATTTGTATAGGCCTATTATCTACCTAAGTTAAAATGTAGCTACCTTGTATCACAGTATCAGAACTTCAGATGACCAAAAAATTTGTATTGGATTTTGATACAATTTTTGTCTTTTGATTTTTTTTTCATGCTTCATGATGTACATTAACGATCTACTGTGCCATGTCCAGAGCCACATTGAGCTATTTGCAGATGATACAAGGTCTTTGCCCTCAGTGACATCCCACTCCCAGAGGCAAGAAAAACCCTGCAGGAGGACTTGGACAGACTCCACGAGTCCACAAGTGGTCTATGGACTGGCAACTGTGCTTCCACCCCGAAAAGTGCAGCCAGCAGCCTGCTTTGCCTTTGAAGTTGGATATGCCAGCAAGTCAGCAACACCGTCCAGTACACCATGAGAGGCTCAGGCTGCAATGCTCAAGGCGAAGAGTACGTGACCCCACTGCCCACTGAAGGAAAGCGACACTGAAAAAGATCTGAGAGAGTGGGAGTAATGATCGATACTCGACAGGGACCTGAGCAGGCTGAGCTTTAAAAGCCAAGTAGCACAAGCAACAGCTAAGGCAAACAGAGTACTGGGTGTTATAAAATAAGGCAAACCTTTGACTTCATCATGCCTGAGATCTTCATCCAGCTCTATAAATCCTTCGTTTGACCGATGCTCAAGTATGGCCACTCAGTCTGGTAGCCAAGGCACAAGACTCTGTGCTCCGACCTGGAGGATGTTCAGAGGAGGGCAACTAAGTTTATCGCAAGCCTCCATTGCAAGGGGAAGCCATACCCAAAACGCCTCACTTCGCTTGGTCTACCCAGCTTGGAGCATAAAAGACTAAGGGAGGACATGATTGATGTTTTCAAGTATGTCCACGGCGCCTGCGAGGCAGACCGCCCTCATCTGCATCTTCATGACAACAGAGATACCCGCGGAAACAGCCTGAAACTTGCCAAGTGCCGCTGTAGACTGAACGTCAGAGCCTGGTACGGTACTTCTCTTACAGAGTGGTGTCAATATGGAACAGCCTGTCGGACACCGTCATCACTGCCCCCTCTATTAACACCTTTAGTTCAAGATCAGGCTCGACAAGCGCTGGGTGACACGCAGAGAACGGGACAATCTCGAATGCTGTCATTAGCTCCCCTTTTAGCACTTCTAGACTAACTTCTAGCCATGCATGCGACAGCCGACAAGCAGTCAAAAAGCAACCAAATAACTAGGCCAAATAGTCAAGAAGCAACCCCCAACCAGGCACGGTGAACAGGCCGCAAGGCATTTTACACTGAACATATTGAGTATCAAGTATAATAAATTTATATCACCAAAACTCCAAAAGTTGGTAGTACCTAGTACCTACCAGGCTACCACTACCAGACAGTAATCACTACCTGTGCTAGCCTACTACAACTTTACAAGTCAGCCACTCAGCCTGTCAATGGCTAAAGTCACCCTGTATATGGTATTTATATAAATTATACCTATTATGTTTTTCTTGGCTATTTGTTTTCACATGTCTTGATTCTTTCTTAATCAGTGTTTTCTGGATTGCTCATTGACGTGAGACAAATTTTACTTGAAGAAAAATGTTTCTGCACTATAATCACTGTCAGACACTGAGTGATCACTCCCTCAGTCCCATCTCATGCAACCCTCATCATAGAATAAAACCAAAAAATATACAGAACTGGCATTGTCAATCATCTTGATTCTTAGGGCATGTACAACCCTGCCTTTGGACATAAGCCTTTTTGGATCATCATCATGGTCCAGAATCCTAAATTTTTACAACTCCTGATGTCTCATTTCTTTGCCTGGATTTGCAAACAATACTGTTGGCTGTTGTTCTAGCAAAGTTTGCTGGAAGGCTAACTATAACTTATTCCAGTCTTCTTTACAGTTTAATGAGCTTACAGATCAGATGTGTTAAATTTTAAGACAATTCAACTGTAGCAAAGAACCTAACTAGCTAGCCATGGTAAAAGCTGATGCTCAGAATGCTCCTGTGGAAGCACAAGGTAAGATTTTAAATTGATGTGAAAATTGAATGTGGAGTGCCCTGATATATCAAATTGTTCAGTGGTGTAAAAATTAACTTTCCTCAGTAAACATAAAAAACCTGTTTACCTTTGAATTGACATCTCATGATCTTTAAATGTTTCCTCATTGCTGCTTTAATGCAGTGAATTTGGATAAAAACTATATCAATGCACCTCAGATTTCAGAGTAGGTATGTAAGGCCAAAAATTTTGAGAGCTTACTCACAGAATTTGTGTTCTTGAAGGATTTGGTGATGATGTCAATTTATTAATATACCTATATATAACTATATTTCTGATAAAATATCATATACCTATAGTCTTATGTTCTTGCTGAAGTTGCATTAAAAAATATCATCTATTAAAATTAAATACGTACTATGTCATGTACCCACTACCCAGTCACAAAAAATGTGTGGTTGGAATTATTAATTATAATGATGACAACCCTAAAATAAATTATTGTTAAGGGGACCGGCTACCCTAAAATTTTCAATTTTGGCGTTTTTCTGCTTTTGTGCTCATCTGAAAGCTGGAATTCTGCTCTTTCCAATGGTACCACTGCCATCGCTGTACGTTAATATTTACGTTCATGACGTCTCTTTAAAGGGAAGCGGGTGAGAGAGTTCTTTAAGTAATTAGATATAAAGTAATTAGCTGCATTTTAGCCGTTTTCTATGAATTTCACGTTTTCTATCAATTTTTTCGAAAAATACATAGGAGCAAAATGTTTTTCTTTTTACCTTTTACGTATGTATGTGAAGTTTCATGATAATCGGATAATAACTGTAGAAGTTTTTCCGGAGGGTAGCCGGTCCCCTTAACATGACTGCATTTAGCTCTAAAGTAGCTTGAAACATGATCAGTGATCTATGAAATCATTGATTGTCTCTTGATTCTAAAACATTAAATAGGCATGTTTGAGAGAAAAAATACAGTATATAAAGGTTTGTTGGTAGTTACTTAATAATTGGTTTTGTTTCAGCTGGACCTCGAGCTAGTAGAATTAGCTTGTTGCACTTCAATGATGTTTACAATGTGGAGGAGCAAGCCTCGGAACCTTTGGCTGGTGCTGCGCGCTTCAAGACAGCCCTTCATAGCTTCAGAGAGCAGGACCCTCTAATCCTATTCAGTGGAGATATCTTTGCTCCTTCTATCAGTAAGGATATCATTCACTCCATGTTGATACAGAATATTTTAAGATATGTATGACATAACTTGTGTTTTGAATTGTGTTTCATAAGTTATAGTGTGGTATTATCATGGTCATATATGTATGTATTTTAGTACTAGGTTAAGGTGAGTGCTTCAAGTTTTGTCTCTTCTGACTTGAAAGAAGATATTTGTAAGCTGAGATGAGTAAAATGTGGTAAATTTGTTTATTTTTTAGTCATTTGCTAGCTGGCCATTTGAAGTTGTAATTTATTTATTCATCCAATTTTGTCTGGGTATTTTGAATTTTCCTGATGGATTTCCATTAACTTTTTTTTCTAGTACCGTATAAAAGAAATTATTTTCATGCCTTGGTTCTTGCTAAATATTACCTGACTCTCATTTATTCTTAGATAACAAATATAAATATACCGTACTTATGTTGATGTTCATATTTTGTGCATATGTTCATTATGAGTTATGTACCTATATGCAAGTAAAAGATAAACTCTTATTCAATCATGTATTCCTAGGTACCTACTGTATATCTCAATGAGCTCTGTTCAATTGCAAAATGTTACTGCAGTGTGCCAGTACATTTTACCATCAAGAGTAGGTACAGTATATATACCATATGTGTATTAGTAGTTTAGTACCATGCCAATTAACATTGATGCTTGGCAAAAATGACCTATCAGCCCTCCTTCATTGAGGTGCAACCACTAAGATGGACAATTACAACAAGAACTGATGCTTTTTACAACACTTCTCTTTAACTTCACTTCTTGTCTGTTTGTTTGTTTGTCTGTCTGTCTGTCTGCTACAAATCTTGTAATTGAAATTTAATACACTTCTACTTATCCTATTGATCTGAAATTTTGCACACTTGTGTAAAGTTGGAGACAATGTATGAATCAAATGTCGAAATAAATGATTTTAAAAATTAAATTTTTTTTTGGTACCGTAGGTATTAAAAAAATTGAAAAAATAGTTTTGTCAGCTACAAATCTTATAACTGATATTTGACACGCTTTTACCTGTCTAATTGATCTGAAATTTTGCACACTTGTGTGAAGTCAGAGGCAATGCATGAATCAATTAATAGAATAAATAATTTTGAAAAAAATTTATATATTAAAAAAAATTTATATATTAAAAAAATTGAATAATTATTTTTTTAATATTCAAAAATTTAATGAGAAATTCATTGTACATCTGTAAGATTGGAGACACTGGATTCTTTGGAAGTGTTGGCTTTAAAAATTAATTTTTAAACATCTATTATTATGTTTTCAGTGTCTTCATTCACTCTGGGCGAGCAGATGGTGCCAGTGCTGAACCAGTTGGGTGTGCATGTCTCTGTCTATGGAAACCATGACTTTGGTAAGATGATTCAGTGAAGTTTTATGTTTCAGAATTCCTAAAACTCAAATTTTGGCAGTTGATTTACTTTACGTTCCATGATATGATTTGCTAAGGTGGTACCAGTATTGAACTTAATGGCCAATTTTTTTGCTGGTATACATACATACGGTATATAACTTTTTCGTTTGTATTATATTTTCAAGTAACTATCACTTTGGTGTCTTTAATTGTAATTTCATTTTTTAACATTGCTTCCGTAATTTGTTTTGGCTAAAATTATCCTCCACACTCTTTAATTTAACGTTGAAATTAAAAATTGTATTAGAGTTTAATTAATTTTTCACTACCTATAAGTTGATTTGAGGTTTGTTCCCATTTTCAGACTTTGGACTGGAGCGCCTCATTGATCTGGCATCAGACACAAATTTCCCATGGCTCATGAGCAACGTCGTAGATAATGAGACTGGCCGGCCTCTGGCTGATGGCTGCGTCACTCACACCATCTGCTGGCATGGCTGGACCATTGGCTTTGTACGTCTTTCTTCTGGTGGAATGGATATTTGTTTAACTTTTACTCTCTTCACTTTGTGCTCACAAATAGCAATAGGATAGGTATATTCCTGTGCACAGCTTGCAAGCTATGATGGAATTTGCTGGAAGCTTGCGAGCTATGATGGAAGCCTGGCACCACAGTACGGTATATGCTGGCTGTCCAGGCATGTAGGTATCCATGATACTTGTCATATTGGGATATTACCAACAAGGATTGTAGGAGAGGGAGGTGAGGATTGGATCAAAAAATTAAAATTTGCTTTGTAAGTGGTGAAAATGAATGAGTTTAATTAAAAAGAAGCAAAACTGTTTTTTCAGGTTTGTAAACTAGAGTAAAATGGTAATCTATGTAAAAGATATAGGTAGGTATTTGAAGGGATCTTTATTAAACTAGAATATGTACCTACCTATGCTTTATCATCATTTACGGGATTAGGGATTACTTGAAGGATACCAAAATTATAGAAATTATCAAGCCTGGGCATTGTCAGGCCAACCAGCTAGAAGTTTATGATTTGTTCAATGTAAAATACCTTAGTGAATTTTGCAAATATTGAAAATCACAGAAAATTCAAAGTAAATGCACCATATTGTCATTGAAACTGCAAAAATTAGTTCCATCAACCGTGTAAAGTTGAATAATTCATGTTTCTTTGATAAAAAGAGCAAATGAATTGGATTTAAGCCCAAGATGGCTTGTAAGTACTATTTTATTTGAGGATAAAATTGGTTAATTATATATATAATTTGCAATTTTAGTAATTTAATTATTGTATATTACTATTATATTATGGGCTAATAGGTTTTCATTACCCTGAACAGGTTGGCCTGGTGGAGAGGGAGTGGCTGGACACTCTGGCCACCATCAACAGCGAGCAGGTTACCTTCACAGACTATGTCGAGGCCGGCAAGAAATTGGCTGCTGAGCTGCGACAACAGGTAGTCTGTGGCTGTTGTTATGTGCCAGGGTTGCTGTTGTGCCTGGGGAGTTGTTTCAGGTTTGTTGTTGTGTCAAGGTTGTTTGGAATGCATCATTGTCATGCTGTGGCAAATGTTGCTAGTCAAATCTTCAGGATTAGAAGGGAATGCACTATGTGAATCATTCAAGTTTGTACACCCCTCAGAGGGGACTTCTGACGCGTGTCTGTGCTCGTCAGAAGTCCTATAGGATTTCGCGCTCCTACGGGGATTGTTCCTGAGCGCCCCACCACTGAGCTCGCGGTGTCTGACTGCAGGTCTCAGTAGTGGGGTTAAGTTATTATGTAGGCAGGATTCCTTACATTTCTCTTCTCTGTCTCTCGTGCGGGCGGCCGACGTCCCGTGTAAGCGACCTCTTGTTCGAGTGTCTTAGTTTCTGTGGTTTTTCACCTGTCCCTCCATGTCAATTCGGCTCTTTGAGATGCTAACGCTGCTTCCTTTGAGCCAGCTTCAGCAGGCTGGACAATTGAGATCTCCCGCCTCTTGTGGGTAATGAATAATTGAGACCTGCCTTGCTGGCGATGTTATCTTTTGACCCCCGGTGCGAAATAGCTTCATAGCTGAAGTGCTAGTAGACCATTATACGGTTATACCACTACTTTCAAGTTTGTACACAGCTTTGAATATAAGGTGAAGATTTCTGCATCAATCAGGAATAAAGATAGAGCTACTCGATTATTTGTGGCATCCTACAAGGAGGTGTGAATGTTTTCAAGGTTTTATACAAGCTGTTTTTCTCAAAAATTTATGCCTTATCTTTGAAGTCATGATGATTTTGAAATTACATGTGAAATGGATTAATATGTATCATCATTACTTTTTCCATCCACAGGGGTGTGACTACATCATAGCTTTAACTCACATGCGCACACCTAATGATGTTCGGCTTGCCGAAAACGTGGACGACATCGACCTCATTCTGGGGGGTCATGATCATGTCTATGAGCTGCAACAGGTGCGTTACGTTTGAATTATTTTGACCATGTGTACGGTACTTCTTAAGCTAATTTTTAAAATTAAATCGAACCTGAAATCTTCATACGTTGAAACATCAGCTGCAACATTTTTTTATTTCTCATATAAGTATGCTTAATTACAGATCTTCTTTGATATTGGCTGAAAACTTTTATCTTTATAAAATTTCCAAGCTTTCTCATTAATAAAAAAGGCATCTTTGAGTTAAGGTTGCCAAAAAGTGCCTTTTAATTCCTAATTAACCTATAATGCTTTCAGGTAAATGGCAAGTGGATAGTGAAGAGCGGCACAGACTTCAGGGAGTTTTCTCACCTCGTGCTGGAGCTCACAGACGGCGGCGGTGTTGAGGTCACCATCGAGAAAGTGGAGGTCACAGGACGCTTTGCTCCTGACCCTGACCTTAAGGAAGCTCTCTCTAAATATGAAAGTGGGTCGCCACTAGTTTGGGGGTTTGTTTACTGCCATCATTCATAATATTCGATATTATATACGTAAATAACGAACACTGTAATCACTGCAATCATCTATGATGGACTGTCAACATTTCATTCCTAGGCAGATGTTATTGCAGTATTGATAAATGAAAAAACCTGTCATATCAAAGTTTTTTACGAAAAATGATGTGGGATTTGTGACGTGACAAGTGTTTTTCTCATTTATATGTGTAGATTACTTTGAATTGCGATGTCCGGTTTTAATTGTGAAATAGAACGCTTTAGCTGCTTGGTATAGTGCTTTGCATACTTTAAATGACAAAGCACCGAGTTAGTTTGTATACCTATGTGGTATAGAATAACTCAAAGACTAATCTTTTAATTTCTTCTAATGGCTGGTTTTCTTCATGTTTGAGACAATGGGGACTTGCCTAATATTTTGAATAGTATTTCGGTGACTAATACTGATAATTATATTAATCCATTCCATTTCTCTTAGTTCAATATAGTTTAATATTTCCATTAATTCTGATGTTGCACGAGGCATGATGAGGGAAATACTAGTACGCATTTCATCCTAAACGTTTGATTCCTATTTTTTATATTTCTTCCTCTCACCTATTCACTGTGCGCAGGCGTCGTGAGCGGCAAGATGGACGAGGTACTAGGAAGTTTCTCGGTAGATTTGGACGGGAAATTTTCCAGCATCCGCACTTGCGAGACGAACCTCGGGAACTTCATCTGCGACGTGATGCTGGCCGCCTGCAACGCGGACGTCGCGGTGCTCAACTCAGGCACCTTGCGCTCCGACCGCCTGCATCCTGCTGGACAGTTCTGCATGCGCGACCTTATGACCGTGCTGCCCATGCTGGACTCCCTGTGTGTGCTGCAGGTCACTGGTGGGTGAGGGCATGACCGTGCTGCCCATGCTGGACTTAGATATTCCTTGAAATTCTCTTCTTCGTCGTATGTCAACTCAAAGTTTGTTGTCGAACTGCTTGTGATTTTCCTACTGAACGAGCTACCGGTATGTCCGCTTCTTAGACCCAGGAAAATAGGTTAAAATAGAAATGATACATTTACCGAGTAGGTATCGTATTGTACTAATATGATACAGATGTAGATGAACTAATATCGTATTGTACTAATTCATCTACATGAATCGCAAAAATATTGACCTCGTATCATAGATGCATGAATTCCTTGATATATCAAAAAATTACCTTGGTTTTTGTGAACAGTTTATTAAATTTCTGCCGATTTCAATGGAATAATTTGCATCTTATCGTCTCTTCGATTAATTGTTGTCTTGTTCGCTGCACAGGCGGTGCTGCTGCATATTCTGGAGAACAGCGCATGTTTATATCATCGTAATTTAGTTGCCATTTTCCTAATAATTATGGTCTGAGCGCCCCAGTGTTTGATTGTTGTCTTGTTCGCTGCCCAGGCGCTGTGTTGCCGCAGATATCCTCGAGAACGGTGCATAGTTCAAATCATCTATACAATCTAGTTAGCATCATTAAAATAACTATCTTGTTAATGTCTCAGTGTTTGATTGTTGTCTTGTTCGCTGCCCAGGCGCTATGTGCTGCTACAGATATCCTCGAGAACGGCGCATGTTTTAGATTATCTATACAATCTAGTTAGCATTATTAAAATAGCTATATTGTTATTGTCTCAGTGTTTGATTGCAGTCTTGTTCGCTGCCAGGCGCTGTGTTGCTACAGATCCTCGAGAACGGCGTGTCTCAGTATCCTAAGCTGGAGGGGCGCTTCCCTCAGGTCGCCGGCATACAGTTCGCCTTCGACCCCAACGCACCGCCGGGTATGTAGCTCCTATTTCTTACTCTTATTATGTACTTCTGATGGCAGCTTAATTCTAATGGACTAAATATTCCATGCTGTTTCTAAGAACTATTTACTTGACGAAATAATATTGTCCGATGCTCGCTGGCATGCGAGATCATAGCAAAGAGTTATGTTCATACGGTATCTTAGTATCAATATTGATGTCTTATTTATCTTCATTCTTCATTTTTATATCTCATTAGAGAGGTCTCATTGATCAATTTAGGCTTGCTTTGTGTTCGGGGCTGGGTTCTGATGCTTGAAATTGTAATTAACATCGTGCGAGGTCCCTAATTTCTTTATAAATCTTTAAAATTCAACACCAAAATTTTGCGTGGTGTATTTGCAACGTGGGGTAGTCTGGAATTATGATGAAGATTTATGCAAGTCTAATTCATAGAGTAAAGTAATTTCTCATTGTAGGTTTTATTTGGTTAAAGACGTGGGCGAGTTACTTGATGTTTTCAAAAAATATTTAAGGGGCACTGACATTGCCATAACCTTATATGGTAGGTTTTAAACTATGTTCAATACGTTGGTGAGATATTTAATAGTTCCAATAATAACCAAGTGACTAACGTTGCAATGCATACGGCAGGTTCGCGCGTGGTGCGCGACATGGTGAAAGTTGGCGACGAGTATCTGCAGTTGGATCAGACCTACAGGCTGTGCACGAAGGCCTACATGCGGCAGGGCAGGGACGGCTACAGCATGCTGGTCGACTGTCCCGTGCTGGTCCGTCTTCCGCTTTTGAGAATCTTGTTAGGGGAAAAGCTTCCCACCAGACATAGAACGTTGAAACAACGGTTAATTGACGTAAATTTAATGTTTAGCTGTTCAATTGACGTAAATTTAACATTCAAAAGTTTAATTAATGTAAATTCAACGTTTAAATGTTTAGTTAATGTAAATTCAAAGTTTAATCGTTTGATCAACGTTGATTCGACGTCAGATGCCTGGCGGTTGATTACTTGACAAATGTTTCATCACATGAAAGTAAATCTTTGTTCATTGTTGACTCTTTTGCTCTTCCTTTCTTCGGATTATCAACTCAGGCCTTGAGTAGAGTGTGACTGTAAATTTTTCCAGTTTTATGAACCAAAATGAGTATTATTTGATAATGGTGTCAAAATCAAAGTATGACGCATTGCTCATTATTAGTCGTAAAGCCAAATTATTTGACCAAAATGCCGCTTGATCATTTACACAATCACGTACATTTCCATGTAAAATATTTTATTGGAAAATGTTTACCTACGTACTTCATTTCTTACTTTTATTGCTCGTCAGCGTTAAGGTCAAAATATTTATCTTTTCCTGGTGTAGTGATACTAAATTCAATCAAGGAAATGATCGGTCAAGTCAACATCATCATCCTTAAATTTGATTCTTTGTTGAACAACGTTTCGCGTATTGCTTTTCGTATTTCATAACGTTTATTAGCGATAACGTTTGAAGATTATCCTTATCTTGGTATCAGAACTGTTTGAAATGCAAACATCGTCATTGCATTAGTGATTGACATTCGTTTCCGAGCGTTGCTAAGTGACATCCTGGCTTAATCATTCCTGTGATTGGATAATACTTTAGTAATATAATTTGGATCATACTTTAATAATAATTTAGAATATAAGTTACATTTTTAATTTTGCATAACTTATTTCAACATTTTGTGTGTAGAACCAACCTACTTGTATGTTGTACTAGTTGCAATTGTTAATTATTATTTCAATAAATAAAAAACCATTAGTTCTGACCTACAATTTCTTTACAGCAAGATGATGAACAATGCCCAATGCTGTCCACTGCCGTCCAGAATCACTTCATGGCCATCAAAACTCGTCAGGGCAAAACTCGTAGAAATTCCACGCATCGGCAATCTTTGGTGCTCATCTCCAGACGGTGAGTAATACATCCTGATACCTGCTCACTTCTAGAGCCTTGCCACGTGACAAGTAAATACATCCTGATACCTGCTCACTTCTAGAGCCCTGCCACGTGACAAGTAAATACATCCTGATACCTGCTCACTTCTAGAGCCTTGCCACGTGACAAGTAAATACATCCTGATACCTGCTCACTTCTAGAGCCAATAGCCGTTATTTCCTATGTTGGATATCTGTGCAGACACGGCTTAGCCGTTATTTCCCATGTTGGATATCTGTGCAGACATAGCCTCATTCGCGACGACGATCCACGCCCCACCCACCGCTCCGCCATGACCCGTTCGCAATCCACCGACTCCAACGCCTCATCCATCTCTACCATCTCCAGGTGCTCTTCTAGCCAACACCATCTCTGAGAATACGTTTTACGATCTATTTGCTGACGCTCTAATACTATGTCTTTATTCTACTACTCTACCTATTCGTGTTTAATCTACCTGTCCACTTCAATGTGTTCTTCTACTTCTCTGCTTCTACGTGTTTATTCTAATTTTCTACTTGCTCGTGCCTGCCCTTTACCTATAAGTTACCTCCTAAGATATACCTTATCAATTTTTTCAATGACAATGTTGTGGTTTATTCAGTTGCTTGACCTCTACGTGTAATATGTCTTATAAGATATTACTTATCAATTTTTTTGGATGATGATATTTTGGTTTATTCATTTTGATGTATAACCGAAAAATTCACTTGAAGCTGAGTCAGCATTTGTTTTGTGCCATAATACAGTATGCAATTTACTGCTCGCAATTAGTTATCCTGAAAACGATGAGTGAAATCACTGTTTCGTGATGATGAAGCTCTAGTTAAAACATCCATGGCTGCCATAATGAAGTATGAAATGTAATGCTTTAGCCCAATCATTCATCCCAATAATGACGAAGCGTTGTTTCCATGACTCATAAGTGTCGTAATGATATATTCTCAATGCAATGCTTTCATGTAATTATTCTCGCAATATTTATTGAAATGTTATAATTTGTCTGTTTTTATCAGCGGGCGTCGGAAGTTGTCGCGGCAGGACAGCGTACACGATCTGGAGGACATCGCGTGCAAGCTCGCGCCCACTGTCGAGGGCAGGATCATTGTTGCTTCTGCCGAGGTCTGACGCTGCAATATTACTTTATTCTTCTACTTTATTTATTATTATTTATGTTTCCCACTAGAATATTTAGTTAATCCATTATTATGTATGTATGACAGTAGAATATTATTTTATTCTTCTTCATTTCATTCTTTATTTATGTTTCCCACTAGAATATGTACAGAAGTTTAGTCATTATTATGTACTATGTATGACAATAGAATAATATATAATTCCGTTAGTTTAATCATTATTGTTATGCATAGTTATTAGTTAAAACAAGTTATTATTATCTTTATTGTTATATGTATGTGTGACGCTAGAGTAGTACTTTATTTTTTAGTAGTTTATTCGTAATTTTTATGTATATATAAAGTTGATTATTGACTTTTGAAAGTCTGTTAGGGGTTGACCATAATACTGTTAGGTCAACCCATTAATAAAACGCCGAGGTTTAATCACACTGCTCAGTACTGTTAATTCATGAATGATTTCCCTAGTAGTGTCCCATTAAGTTTAGTGAGGAGAGTGAGTGTGTTATAATATGTCTCTTAGTTTATTTAAAGTAACATATCATAGTCGATATTGTGTGTATATGTAGTTCAGCTTCTACGTTTCGGTAATTTGCACGTAGACTGAGTAGTTTTGAACTCGCAACTTTGATGTGTAAACTTTACTATTTCTATATTATTTCAAAACAAATATTGAGATATTCTCGGTACCGTTATCCCCGTTTGAATCACCTGACGCTGGTTTGTGATTCTTGGTGCCCAATCTGCTTGCAAACTCCCAGTAATGCTTTTGTTTTATCCATTCAAAAGCAGGATCTTTAAACCAGCTTGCTTAGTTCCGTTTGAGTTGATTTTACTTGATGTCTCTTTCCAGCGTATTCAATCCCTTCTGTTCATGCTTATTCCCATCCAATGCCCTGTATCTCGAGTGCACTGAAACCCTTTATTGACATAAAAAGCCTTATCATCTTCAGTCGACACTACGATTTACCTCCACTGCACTGTTAGAAAAAACGGTCCCACTGGCGTTCTAGTGGCCGGTCGCCCCGTGAAAAAAACTTTCGCCGTTTTTATCAGATGTTTTACGGATTTCTAGTGTTAAACTAGAATGAAAACGGCGACACAGTGTTTCTTTTCACGGGCCGACCGGCCACTAAAAAGCCGGTAATATCGTTAACGGGAATTTTTCTAACAGTGTGTATTCATGCATTATTCATAATTCACACGAAGTCATTGTGTGGCAGTGCCGTTCGCTGAACCCTCCCAAGGTTGCCTACCAGCGCCTGCTGGACAAGCTCACGGAGGAGCAGGACGGCGACGACGAAGATGCCGTGGATGACTCCGCAGCAGCGCAGGCCGTGTAGCGCAGCGGTCGTGTGGGTGCTGGGGGTATATGGTGTAGTGCTGGAGTAATGCAGGGGGGTTGAAGGTAATGCAGAGGGGTTGAGGGTAATGCAAGGGGTTGAGGGTAATGCAGGGGGTTTGAGAGTAAGGAAGATAGTTTAAAAGTAATGGAAGTAATAGATGAGCAGGGTTTAGTGCTAGTGAAGTAGTGACGCAGTCGCGTAGGTGATAGTGTTACCTGGTGTAATTCGTGAAGTAATGAAGGTGGTTTGAAAGTAATGAAGGATGTTTAAATGTAATGAAGGGGATGAAGATGGTTTGAATGATGCTGGTTGCTAAGCAGGGCTTAGTGCTATAGAAAGAGGGCCGCGGTGATATGGGTGCGCTGGGTTATGGTATCTTGTGAAGTGATAAAGGTGGTTCAAGATGATGGTGATTTGAAAGTAATGAAGGTGATTTGGCAGGTAGGGTTGTGCTAGGTACCGCGGTCGCGTGGGTAATTGGGTTAACCGGTGTAGTTTCAGATGTAATGGTAATTTATTGGGTATGGGATAAAAGTGAAGCAAGGATACTTATTCATTTGGTACGGAATAGAAGTGATGTAATGAAGGTTATTCATTAGGTACAGGCTCAATGAAAAAAAAAACGGAAAAGTGAGCTGAATTTGGTGCCTAGCTAACTTGGTGTTCATCTTGAAGTTATAACCATATATGAGGCACGTTAGTCACAACTTCATGTAAGTAATATCAATGTTAATTACTTGACAGAGATAATTTAATTGCATTTTCATCGGGTTAACCTTATTTTATTTGGCGATTAATAAATCTAAACTCAATTTAATCTTATAATCTAAATCTAATCTCAATGGCTTAGCCTGATCTAAGTTAACGATTGTTGGATGCAGTCATTCATGAATTTAAAGTAATCTTCTATTCTCCTTAACGCCTTACAATGCCTTGTTTTTTTTGCTTCTTCTGATAATTTTTGCTTGTGATTTGCTGTAGCTTTTGCTTAAACTCACAACAGGTTTCTTAATAAATCAAAAGGTTATTAATAGGGTTAAATAACTCCTGCTTCTGTGTACTTAGCCTTGAATTTGAGTGCCGTGATTTTGATCTGCAGTGTTGTGATGTTGTGCTGCAGTGTTGTGATATTGTGCTGCAGTGTTGTGATATTGTGCTGCAGTGTTGTGATACTGTGCAAGATAATATCTTAAAGTTAATATCATAGTATCCTCGTATCCTAAATATCCCAATTATAATTTTTCCCTGGCTTTGTAACAACAATACTTTTACTTCTCACCGTGCACGCGTACTTCATCCTGACCTCTTATAAGTCATCAATTTATTCAATATACTCTCTTTGGATGTCTTATGTAGGAAGTAACTATGTTGTATTTGTTATGTAGGAAGGTGCATGTCTTGTTTTCGTTTGATTACATAAATTTGTTTGGTGTCTAATGAGCCGTGATACAACGCTGTGCTGCGAGTTATGTTGATTTACATGTCTTGTATGACCACAGTCCTGATAGTGAATGCATGAGGATAGTTATTCATTATCCTGATATCCTGATGGTGAATGCATGAGGATATTTAATCATTATCCTGATATCCTGATGGTGAATGCGTGAGGATAGTTAATGATTACGTGTTGATCACACTGCTTGTGAAAACAGGTTTTGTTTGCTTCGTGAAGATAACAAATGTTAGTGATAAAATTTTTCGTTGTTGACGAAGATAGCGCCGTTTAGCTGACGTGTAATTGTGGCTGACGTTGCAGGAGGTGGTGAAGCTTCGTCAGCAACGCGTTGCTCGAGGCGTCAGCGTCATAGAAGAGGCTGACGAACCTGCCTCCCCCCTGCCTCAGTGAGCTGACACTGCTGCTGTGGTGCTGACCACTGCTGCTGTGGTGCTGACACTGCTGCTGTGGTGCTGACACTGCTGCTGGAGTGCTGACACTGCTGCTGTGGTGCTGACACTGCTGCTGGGGTGCTGACACTGCTGCTGTGGTGCTGACACTGCTGCTGCGGTGCTGACACTGCTGCTGTGGTGCTGACACTGCTGCTGCGGTGCTGACACTGCTGCTGTGGTGCTGACACTGCTGCTGTGGTGCTGACACTGCTACTGGGGTGCTGACACTGCTGCTGCGGTGCTGACACTGCTGCTGGGGTGCTGACACTGCTGCTGTGGTGCTGACACTGCTGCTGTGGTTCTGACACTGCTGCTGTGGTGCTGACACTGCTGCTGTGGTGCTGACACTGCTGCTCTGGTGCTGACACTGCTGCTCTGGTGCTGACACAGACACTGCCAACTCCTATGATGCTGACACTGCCGTGATACCATGTCACACCAATCCTCTTACATGCTCCACAAACTTGTCGGCTCTCAACTAACATTTCTGTTTAGTTTGTTATCTTATCGTCACTCAGGACGTGGCAGCTACCGTCGCTCTCAAATAGCGCATCCAATCTCTGAGTAGAACCATTTTATTTGTTTTAACCATCTAACCATCTTAATTGTCTCAACCATATAACCATCTTGATTGTCTTAACCGTCTAACCATCTCAATTATCTTAACCGTCTAACCATCATAATCATCTTGAAAGTCTTAAAACCATCTTAATGCGTTTGGAAAACATCGGATCAACGTAAAGTTGTACATGTAATCCACTACGTCTCATTATCTCTGTTTAAGTTATCACTGGTTACATTATAATTGGTAGTAAATAACTGGTAATTTTGATCCATGCAAATTAATGTAACACAAGGATACTAGAAAATATGGCGCAGTCAGAAAAATGAATGGGTCTTACTATCCAAATAGGTTCACACTTTCTTACTCATTACTCGAGCAGAACGAAGATACGCCTTTTTGTGCGTCGTAATGACCCGCACAAGTACAATGCATCCTTACTTGGACAAATTTCACTCATTTCTTTTAGTGAACCTTGCGTCGTTTGTTGTGCCAGGTTTTCTACGAGTCAATGATTCAATATTCTATTAATAAATTTATTCAACCGAGACCATTTTTTTCAAGCTGTTATTAACGCAATCTTGCAAAAGCTCCATAAGTTGATCTTACTTTTTCAAAATTGTTATCCAAAATTTAGGATTAATGTAGTCCGAGTTCGTGTAATAATAAGATAATTTTCCTGCTCCATTTTCTTTTAACGAGATGAAAATAGCTGTTCTTTTACCAGGTGCAAACCAGAATATTGCTTTAAATTTTACAGAATCCCATACCTTGTTCTCAAAAATATTGAATGGACTTCTGGTTGCAGTCTCTTCATAGAATTGCTGGTGTGATATTGTCGCTTCAATTATAATACTCGTACAAAAACTCTTTTGGCAGTACTGACAAGATATAATTCATATTATACATATTTATGATACAATACCAACGCTTTAATATGTACTCAAAAGTAAACTATTCCGGCTGTCATAACGATGCACATCCTAATGTTCAACCAGTTTATACTACGTACCATATTGGAAGTAATTTTAATTTTCACTGCACTATCAAAATATCACGTAGCATTCGGTTATTAGAATATTTCTTGTTATAAAATATCAATATTATTTACGGTGTTAAAAATGCCATTGTTCATTTTACTGTTCCGTTTACAGATTATTTGAAATGATATCACCATCGGTTCTACATGAAGATACATATAATTTGAATGCTGGATTCGTTAAATAATAATCGGGTTTTGTCTCCATGAGTTCACTTGATTTCAGATGTTCTCTTATATATTAGACGATGCGTGAAATTTTTTGATTTGTTGAACATAAAAACGTGGTGAAATTTTCGCCATTAGCCGCGCTATTAGAAATAAATGGCCAGAAGTGATCGACTTGCAACGTTGATCTTGCCTGACAATTGAATTATCGTTTAACCGTTATTAATGTTAGACTTAGGGTTCTATGAATTCACGGGCTGTGCTTAAAGTAGTTCATCAGAATCTTGTAATTTTGTAAGGAAATATGCACTTGATACGTCCGCTTTGAAAACATAATTCAAAATGAGGCCATTTTTAACTTAGTACATATCGTATCGCTTCCAAATATCGATACCAAATGTAAGTCTATATTTTGAGACTGTAATATTTCGCGTTATAAGTTTGAATTTGTTGTCTTGCGTCTTTTGTTTTTCTTGGCTTAGAACTTTAATTGGCTCAAATGGGCGTAGTTTCTCCAAAATAGGAAGGTATGCGAAAATGTCGAATGTTTCTTATGAAAACAAAATACTAAATTAACGCAAATTGAGTTTTACGTCAAATTAAAATGACTTGGTAGCTGACAGTCTCAGCATAATATTGTACGAAGCTATACAGCCGCTTTTTGATGACGTCTGTGTTGTGTTGGGGCTTTTAGTCAAAATTCTACTATGATCCTCAACTTGAGAAATCTTTTGTGTCGTGCATAGTACGGTTATCCTAGTTATCTAACATATTGTTAATTTTTTTGCTAATATCATATATATATTAGTTTATAATTACCTATTTTAACATTTACCTCGTGTCTCTTCCCACTCGTCCGGCCTTATTCCAATCACAATTCTTAACGCTAACGTAAAAATCTGGAAATCTAATTTCAAGCTACAATGCAAGCAATGTTTTCTCCGAGTTGCATTTATTGCACAAATTTTTCAGAGACGCAAATCGTCGCCCCTATGATGTGCTCTGATATATTTATTGATTACCTATACAAAAATCCGATATTTTTCTGCATAAACTGTACTGTCAACACAGACATTTTTGAACTCGTATATCCACTGTTATCCCTACCTGATAAATAAGTTTTTTTGGTAGAAACGCACAAAACAGTATTCTATCTAACAGTATCTGCTATGTTGTATCTAACAGTATCTGCTATGTCTTCACTTTTTTTCTTGAAATAGCATCTTTTAATGGAACGTATGGAAACATAAGAGGCGTGCATTGTTGTGGACGATTATAAAATTTCATTATTATGATTATACGTGTATATACAGGTTTCATTCTCGATTGATGGCACCATATTAAATATTTGCTTTTTCACTTTCTTGCGGTGATATATATATATTTTTTCTTGTTTCATTCTCATCTGAAATTTTTATTCGGATAATTTTCTTCCTTTGAGCATCTAATGTATTACATTCGTTGTATAGATCCTGATACTTTGTTTCGCTTTAATCAGTATAAATCAATTAACTTACTAGAATACTTACTTCAAAACTATTAGCCGTGTAATTCTCATCTTAGAGTTAAGAAGCACCTTTGGTCAGTCCATTCGAAGTGATCTATGCACTCATCGACGTAAGCTTCGTAATTCAGTGTTATGAATGTACAGGGCTGACTCGTCCATTATATCGACATTAAGTAATGGCTATTTCGTGATAAACTCGCTAAAACGGAGTTTTTAATATAGTTTTCACACTGATTGTTTTGATACCTTTTTATGAATCGTATTTAATGTATTCGGTCTCAGTTAATCCTTCAAGGAGATGTAAACTTGAACAGCGATGGCATGACGAAAAGCTAACTGCATACGTGTAGTAAACCACGATTTTATTCATTTGTATAATCCAGCCACTTGCTGATAAGGTTTAAGCGAAAGCGGAGAGCTTTTTACCGCATCGCCCTAATTACCTGGCGTGAATAATACCATAATAAGTGCAAAAAATGTGACCTCTATTGTCTAGTGTACTATTGTCAGCTTGAAGTGTAGCGCCATGAAATTTTGGGTGAACTTTTCTAAGCGTGCGACTATTGGAGTATTTACAAAAATGTCGTTCGTATGCTCTTGGTCGTATTGAAATATAATTAATAATAACACGAAAGGAAAGTGATATAAGTGTTCAATATTGAGGTTTTTCTGTATATTTTTGTTTGAAATTACATCCTGATTGTTTATTGTTTATTCGTGACCGGAGACGTGCAAACGAAACTGCCTTAGTTGCACATGCTTTGAAACCTTTGTGAAAAATATCTATGTCATTTGAATGGATATTATGTTAATGTTTTGTCGTTTATAATGATCTATCAAAGTTGGCAATGCACAAACTTAGCAGGTTAGGGTTTATCTGCTGATTTTTACCATGTTTTTTCTATGCATGTTTGTTTGTCGTCTGGTACACTGGTGGAAAAAACAATGTGTCGTTCTGTCCACATAGTGACACTTTCTATACGTGATAGTGACACGCCCTTGTGTCGGACTGAATTGTGCTGGATGATTTACACAAGACCTTATGACCTTATGATGAGTTTAGGACTTCGTAGTCCACGGTCAAGCTGAGGCGCCGCCTTCGTCGTCCTCCGTCTCCGAGTCGTCGCTAGGCAGGTCACCCCGCCCTCGGGTTCCGGATGTAACGTTGGACGTGTTCCGACGGAGGGCAATAAGTGCACCGTTAGTTGGACATAGTCTTATTTATCTGAGTGTACGCTCATGAAGAAACTACCTAATAATCCTAGTTTGCATGTAAACCTAACTTGTAGTGTTAGCGGTAAGCTTCTGTGCTGCGTTCAATTTCTGTGGCTAAAAAGCAGCTGTTTTTGTCCGGCTCATCCATAGCCTTTCTTTGGCTGAACTTTCTATGCTATGAACAATCAGGATCACAATAACAGCGATTGTGTTCCTAACTTTGATACTAAGTTTATGTTGGTTCGGAATACTAAACTCCTGCTTTCCCCACCCACTGAAAAGAAGGTAAACGTTTATGCCTACCGTCAACGGCACACGAGTCGCCCGCCACTCAGCAAATACTGCATTCAACTCGTTGATCTTTGATAAAAATCTATTATACCTGTCAGAAATACGAATTGTAGCGTTCGATTAATAACTTAAGAAGCGTTATTGATATCGC